AGCAGCATCAGAGGAGCAGGAAGGCTGACGTTTCGGGCCTAGACCCTTCTTCAGAAATCTGAATGTCATGGGAAGATATCGTGGAATAGATTAACAGAATGTATTGACTGTTATTTGCGGTTTCAGGGAAGATCAAGTAAAATGTATAAGAAGCACGATTAAAGCTGTTGTTGCAGAGCTCTCAACATGCAGAAGAAACAAAGCTGGATATTTGAAAAGATCATGGACTCATTCCGCACTTCTTAGAAACTCAACACTTCACTTCAAATGGCAATTGTTTCTGCCAATTGTCAACTTTAAAACTGAATTTGATACGTGTGTATTAACCCATGGTGTTAACAGATATGGGCAAAGTGAGGATACGGAGTTAAGTCAGTTCAGTTATTGAATGGCAAAACAAACAGAAGAAATAACCTGCTCTTGTGGTTTAATCTATAGGATATGAACTATTGCCTATTAACTTGTGATGGAACCCTTATTAATTTTTGTGTATTCTAATACAGCAAGAAGGAGCAGGTAGTCAAAGTAAAATCATTTGCATCCTAGTCATAGTCATAGAGTCATACAGCACGGAAACAGACACTTCAGTCCATGCAGAACATAATCCCAAACTAAACTAGTCCCTCCTGCCTGATCCTGGCCCATATCCCTCCAAACCTTTCCTATTCATATATCCATACAAATGTCTGTTAACCATTGTAATTGTACCCGCATCCACCACTTCATCAGGAAGTCCATTCCACATTCGAACCACCCTCTGTGTAAAAAATTTGCCTTGTCTTTTTTAAATCTCTCTCCTCTCACCTTAAAAATGTGCCCCCTAGTCTTGAAATTCCCCATCTTACGGAAAAGACAACTACCATCAACATTATCTATACCTCATTATTATATAAACTTCTATCAGGTCTCCTCTCAACCTCCTACACTCCAGTGAAAAAAGTCCCAGCCTTTCCATATAACTCAAACCTTCCACCCAGCAACATCCTGGTAAATCTCTTCTGAACCCTCTCCAACTTGATAATATCCTTCCTATAACTGGGTGACCAGAACTAGACAGTATTCCAGAAGAGGCCTCACCAATGTCCTGTACAACCTCAACATAATGTCCCAACTCCTATACTCAAAGGACTGAGCAATGAAGGCGAGAGTGCCAAATGCCTTTTTAACCATCCTATCTAATATGTGATGCAAACTTTAAAGAATTATGTACCTGCACCCCAGGGCCCTCTGTTCTATAACACTACCCACGGCCCTACCATTAATTGTATAAGCTCTACTTACTTATTTCCTCATTTACTCCAACCTCTCCCCAATGGAATGCGCAGCCCTCCACTCCTTTCGCTCCAACCCCAACCTCACCATTAAACCCACAGATAAAGGGGGCACGGTAGTAGTATGGCAAACTTACCTCTACATAGCCGAGGCCAGATGCCAACTCTCTGACACCTCTTCCTACTGTCCCCTTGATCATGACCCCACCTCTGATCACTAAGCTATCATTACCCAGACCATCAACAACCTCATCATCTCAGGAGGTCTCCCATCCACAGTCTGCAACCTGATAGTTCCCAGTCCCCAATCCCTCACCACCTGTCTCTATCTCCTACCTAAGATCCATAAACCCAACTGCCCCAGTCAACCCATTGTCTGTGCCTAGTCCTGCCTAAAAGCCCTCCACTTCTTCCTCTCCCATAGGCCCAACCAGTCCCCCTCCACTTACACTCTCATTCGCTTGGTGGAACCGATCCTCACCCTCAACAATGTTTTCTTTTATTCCTCCCACTGCCGACAAACCGAAGGGGTGGCTATGGGCACCCACACAGGCCCGAGCTATGGCTGCCTCTTTGTAAGATTTGTGGAACAGTCCCTCTTCCACAACTACACTAGCACTATCCGTCACCTCTTTTCCGCTATATTCATGACTATAATCAGTGCTGCCTCGTGCTCCTGCGAGGAGCTCAAACAGTTCATCAACTTCTTCAACAGGTTCCACCGCGCCTTCAAATTCACCTGGATCATTTCTGACACCTTCCCCCCACTTCCTGGACTTCTCTGTCTCCATCTCCAGTAACGGACTCATCACTGACATCCATTTCAAACCCACTGACTCCCACAATTACTTCGACTACACCTCCTCGCTCCCACCCTCCTACTTTTATCCCATACTCACAATTCCTCCATCTCCCACTGCATCTGTTCCCAGGATGAGGCGTTCTACTCTAGGACTCCCTAGCTATCCTCTTACTTTAGAGATTGTAGTTTCCATTCCTGTTATTAGGGATGCCTTGAACCACATCTCTCCATTTCTGCATCTCTGTCCTCAAACCCTCTCCCCCCAACAACAATAAGGATACAGTCCCCGTAATCCTCACGTACCTTTTTCACTGTCTACAATGCCACCAATTTTTGTGTCATCTGCAAACTTACTAACCATGCCTTCTATATTCTCATCCAAATCATTTATATAAATGATAAACAAAAGAGGATCCAGAACCAATTCCTATGGAATACCGCTGGTCACAGGCCTCCAGTCCATATCGCAACCATCTACCATTACTCTCTGTCTCCTGTCGTTAAGCCAATTATGTGTCCAATTGGCAAGTTCACCCTAAATCCCATGTGACCCAACTTTACTAATTAGTCTACTACATGGAACCTTGTCAAAGGCTTTACTAAAATCCAAAACAACAACTGCTCTGCCATCAACCACCTTTTTGGTAACTTCCTCAAAAACCTCAATCAAGTTTGTGAGACACGATTTTCCTCACACAAAATCATGCTGACCATTCCTAATCAATTTGTGCCTCTCTAAACGTCCATAAATCCTATCTTTTATAATCACCCGCAACAATTTACCCACAACCGAAGTCAGACTGACAGCTCTATAGTTCCCCAGTTTCTCCTTAGAACTTTTTTTGAACAAAGGTACAACATTAGCCATCCTCCAATCATCAGGCACCTCACCTGTAGTTACAGATGATGAAAATATTTCAGTAGGGGGTCTCAGAGTTTCCTCTCTTACTTCCCACAACATCTGGGATACATTTGATCAGGTTCCGAAGATTTATACACCTTTATATTCTCTAAAACCTCCCGAACTTCCTCTTCTGTAATGTGAACTGTTTTTAAAACACCAAAGTTTATTTCTCTGCATTCTCTAGACTCCAAATCTTTCTCCACAGTAAAAACTGATGCAAAAATATTAATTTAATATGTCTCCCATCTCCTGGAGTTCAACGCAAAGATGACCTCCTTGATCTTTAAGAGGCCCAACCCTCTCTCTACTTACCCTCTTGCTCTTAATGTATCTGTAGAATCTCTCTGGGTTATCCTTAACCTTATCTGCCAATGCCATCTCATATCCCCTTTTTGCCTTCCTGATTTCTCTCTTAATATAAAGAGCATGGGGGCATTCTTAAGAGTTTCAATTGAACCAAGTTGTCCGTATCTAAAAAAGGATTCTCTTTTATTCTTGATTTGAATCTCAATATCTTCATTCATCTATTGTTCCTTACCAGCCTTACCCATCACTCTAACAGAAACAAAATGCCTATGAACTCTCATCATCACACTCTTGAATGCCTCCCACTTGTTAGACGTCCTTTTACCTGCGAATAGTCTACTCAAATCAACTTTTGAACGTTCTTGTCTCATATCCTTAAAATTTGCCTTACTCCAATTAAAACATTTTCTTTTATGAAAGGCTTATCCTTCTCCATAACCATTTTGAAACTGATAGAATTATGATCCTCATGAGTCATTGCTGCTAGGAATCTTGCTTTAGATAATGTGCATCCCATCTGGGCTGGTTGTTCTCATTCCTGCAATAATCAATTCAAAATTATCATAGAACAAATCTTACAAAGAGGGTGACAATTGGTTGTGACCATTTTAAAGCTCAGGCCAGAGAGCACTTGTGGTTCATTGGTAGTGTCCCTGCCCAGCTTCAAGTCCCACCTGCTCCAGGGGTGTATAATAACATCTCTGAATAGGTTGATTAGAAAAATAGGTTAAATTTAAAAATATATGAAGTTCAGACCAGCATTAACTGTGTGCAAGCAGTTAGCACCTGCAGGGAGCTTGGGCATTTTGTGAAGACAAGCATCAGGCTGCTTTTCAGCAATGCTCCAAACGCAAGGTCACAACAGGAATATCCAGATGGCATTTGCACCACTGTCACCAGGGCTCATTTGATCCCTTAATAACACTAGATGCCGATTTTGGAAGATGGGTGCATATGAATTCCGATCTCCGAATGCATCACAAGATCATTTCACACATTATTTTTCCTATAAAAAAAACACACCTGGATGCCAAATCTTTACAGCATTGTGTGCAGGGAGTTTCTGAAAAGTCTAAAGTATGCTTAATTTTTCTTTCACTCATGGAATGAACATGTAGTAAACAAATATCGGTAATCTCAGTCCACAGAGAGCCATCGATAAGAAATCCTATAATAGGCGTTAATACAATGCAGCTCCAGTTTCGAGTGTGTTATCAGCTTCGTGTTGTCATTAACCACGTCTGTTTTCCTTTTCCACTCGGTGTTGTCTTCCAGCCAGAAACTGAACCATTGGGAACAGTTCATTTAGAAGCCCGGGCAATGAATCTTTGCCGCCGGCAAAATAAGATAACAGTTGTACTTTAGTAAAAACGTTTTTACATTCTGCCGGATTATTTCTCAGATTACGTGCTGCTGCACAGCAGTGATGGCGAAGGACCTAAACAAAGCAGAGCAAAATTATGCAGACATTAACAATTAAAATCGTGAACTATTCAATCATATATTTATTAATTTTGTATCAGTGACAATTGCTCAAACGCCTTTACGATGCTGCCGCGAGGAAACTTGTGGTTACAGATAAAATGAATCATAATTGAATAGGAAGAAGTTTGTGAAATATGCTAACATATTAACTCATAATTGGAGACTAAAAAGGTAGTAATTCCTGTGGCGTGAAGTTAAGTTGCTGGCGATGAGTGGGTTGGAAGTCGTTACATTGTGCCTATGAGTATTAGTCTTCTACCCTGCCCCTGCTGTCGGAGCTCGCTTGTTCAGTTTGGTTACGTGCGTTTTTTTTCCTGACTGGGACAGACAGTCAGTTTAGTCAGTCACTCACAGTCAGAGCCGCTCCCGAGCCGCTGGCTCGGAGGAAGGCAACTGGAAGTTACTCTTGGAAGGAAACAAAAAGGCATTTCTCGTTATTTTCCTCGTTAAGGCTATTTGCAGGATTCAAACGGGATTCTCTGTTCAACGGGCAGGATTACTGTGAATTGAAGCAACTTGCTGGAGAGAGAGAAGGAAGATAGCGAAAGAGAGAAAAATCAGTGAACTGCAGCCTGTCCACCACCTCTTCACTGAGGGAAGAACCAGAGTGAGGGCAATTGCGGAGCTGAAGCAAAGTGAGGGGCTCGGGAACCTCAGGGGAAATCACGATCTAGAAGGAGAGGTGTCTGGAGAGGGCAACTGGAGGAAAAGGAGGGGGTAAGAGTGAGGGCAACGGAATCCGGAGGGAGGGGAGTGAGGGTGAGGAAAGAGGATTGAGATCGGGGGTAGCAGAATGGGAACGGAGGGAGTTTAGTGAGGGGAGTGGGATCTGGAGGGAAGGTAGGGAGGGCAGTGAGATCCGAGGCGAGGGGAGGTCAGTGAGATCCGGACGGAGGGTAGGAGAAGGCAGTGGGGATCCGGAGGGAGGGGAGGCGAGGAGAGGAGAGGGCAGTGGGAATCCCGGGAGGGTGACAGTGGGGAGGGGGGATCTGGAGGTTGCGTACTGAGGGTGAGAGTGGGATCCGTGGCGGGGGGGAGGTTAGTGAGGGTGAGAGTGGGATCCCGAGGTCGGGAGCGCCGACCCCGGGCCAGGCCTGGGGGGGTAGGTGGTGGTGGTCTAGGGGGCGATGGCGCTGCAGGCTCGGGCTCTGTATGATTTCCAGAGTGAGAATGTGGGTGAGATCTCGGTGCGGGAGGACGAGGTGCTGACCGTTTACAGTGAGCACGATATTGATGGCTGGCTGGAGGGGGTCAACAGCCGGGGGGAGAGGGGACTCTTCCCGGCCTCCTATGTGCAGATCGTGCGGGCGGCGAGCGGCGGGGGAGCGCCCGGAGAACCCCCCGCCTCCCGTTACGCCAATGTCCCGCCGGGGCCGGGACCTGGCAGCACCTTCTGCCCTCCGCCTCTCATCCAGGTACCGCCGGCAGCAGGAGGAGGAGGCGGCCCCAGCCCCGGGCCCGGGCCTGGGCCTGGCCTGGTGCAGCTGGCCGGCCTCCAACACCAGGCGTCGGGCAGCGGCGACGACGACGACTGGGACGATGACTGGGACGACAACTCGACAGTGGCGGACGAGCCGCTGTCGAGCTCAGGAGGAGCTTCGGGTTTCTCCCCGGAGCTGGACGGCTCGGGCCGGTATAAAGTGAGCACGGGGGCCCGGGCGGGCGGAGGGCCCTCGTCGGGCCCCTCGAAGAGCACGGCGACCGTCAGCCGCAACCTGAACCGCTTCTCCACCTTCGTCAAGTCGGGCGGCGAGGCGTTCATCCTGGGGGAGGCGGCGGGCTTCGTCAAGGACGGGGACCGGATCTGTGTGGTGAGCGGGCCGCACGGCCCCGAGTGGCAGGAGGACCCTTACCCGTTCAGCTGCTCCATCGACGAGCCCACCAAGCAGACCAAGTTCAAGGGCATCAAGAGCTACATCTCGTACCGCCTGGTGCCCAGTCACACCCAGAGCCCGGTCAACCGCCGCTACAAACACTTCGACTGGCTGTACGGCCGCCTGGTGGAGAAGTTCCCGGTCATCTCGGTGCCCCACATCCCGGAGAAACAGGCCACCGGCCGCTTCGAGGAGGACTTCATCTCCAAGCGCAAGAAGGGCCTGATCCTGTGGATGAACCACATGACGAGCCACCCGGTGCTGGCCCGCTGCGACGTCTTCCAGCATTTCCTCACCTGCAGCGACGAGAAGGCCTGGAAGCAGGGCAAGCGCAAGGCCGAGAAGGACGACATGGTCGGCGGCAACTTCTTCCTGACCCTCAGCACCCCGGCCAGCCCGCTCGACCTGCAGGAGGTCGAGAGCCGGGTCGACGGCTTCAAGAGCTTCACCAAGAGGATGGACGAGAGCGTCTTCCAGCTGAGCCACACCGCCAACGAGTTCGCCAGGAAGCAGGCGGTGGGCTTCAAGAAGGAGTACCAGAAAGTGGGCACCTCTTTCCGACTGCTGAGCCAGGCCTTCGAGATGGACCAGCAGCCCTTCTCGGCGGGACTCAACCGCGCCATCGCCTTCACCGGGGACGCCTACGATGCTATCGGAGAACTTTTCGCAGAACAGCCCAAACAAGACGTAGACCCGATCGTGGACTTATTAGCACTTTACCAGGGGCACTTGACCAATTTCCCCGATATCATCCACGTCCAGAAAGGTACATGTACATCTTTCCCCCCCACTCATTTTCGTTGCATGCAAGCCATTTCCAATGTTGTTCATGGTGTTTTGATTAAAAGCCTTCAAACTTGAACACGTGCATTTTAGAATCATAGAATCCCTGCAGTGTGGAAACAGGCCATTCGGTCCAACAAGACCGCACTGACCCTTCGAACAGCATCTCACTCTATCCCTGCACCTCCTAATCCACCTCGCCTACACATCCCTGGACACTACGGGCAATTTAGCATGGCCAATCCACCTAACCTGCACATCTTTGGACTGTGGGAGGAAACCGGAGCACCCAGAATAAACCCACACAGACGAGGAGAATGTGCAAATTCCACGTAGACAGTCACCCGGTCCCTGGTACTTTGAGGCTGCAGTGCTAACCACTGAGCCACAGTGCCACCCCAGTTGAATTCAAATTCCAGGATCTGCCATCTCGGGAGTCAAACGCAGATCCCCAGAACATTGCCTAGTTCCCAATATTAACAATCCAATGATAATACCACTAGGCCACCACCTCCCCTAAATTACCCCAAAACTCCAAATGCAAGAGCATTTGCTTCAGAAATTACCCTGCTGGCCTGGCAACGGCCATACAGGACAAATGGGTCACTAAGATTGAAACTCAAGAGTCTTAATCTGCACTTGATGCTTTGGTGCTTTAATTTTTGTGATTCAGTGCTGCCTTGTAAGAACTGACTCCTGCAACACAGAATGCGTCCTTCAGCATGGAGTCAAAGGTGCTAAGGTCATTGACAACAAGACAGAACACCCTTGCTGTGTACCTGAAGAGAGTTAAACACAGCTCAGGTTGAGTCAAGGTGCCTATATAAAGTGGGGAGCTATTGATCTGCAGTGAAATGCTCTACCACTGAGCTATACCCCCAGTGTTTGCCTGCCATTCCTCAGCCCACGGACCAATGTGATCAAGGTCCGGTTGTACTCTGAGATTACCTTGTTCACTGTCCAGGATACCACCAATTTTGGTGTGATCTGCAAGCTTATTGATCATTCCTCTTCTATTCATATCCAAATCACGTTTATATAGCTGACAAAAGGCAGTGGACCCAGCACTGATACTTGTGGCGTACCACTGGTCACAGTCCTCCAGTCCAAAAAACAGCCCTCTGTCGCCTACTGTCAAGCCAATTTTGAATCAAATTGGCTAGCTCTCCCTGTATTCCATGTGATCTAACCTTGTGAGCCAGCCTACCATGTGGAATCATGTCAAATGCTTTGCTGAAGTCCATATAGACAACACCTACTGCTCTGCCTTCATTAATCTTCTTTGTCACCTTTTCAAAAAAATCTCAATTCGATTAGTGAGACACAATTTCCCATGCACAAAACCATGTTGACTATCCCTAATCATTCCTTGACTTGCCAAATGCATGCAAATCCTGTCTCTCAGAAACCCTCCAAAAACGTAGCCACCATGTGAGACTAAATGGTCTACAGTTCCCTGGCTTTTCCTTACCACCTTAAATAATGTCACCACGTTAGCTACCCTCCAGTCTTCTGCCACCTCCCCTATGGCAGTTGATGATACAAATGTCTCTGCTGGCACCCAGCAATCTCTTCCCTAGCTTCCCACAAAGTTCTCGGATACACTTGATCAGGTCTTGGGGATTTATTTACCTTTGTGTTTTAAGACCTCCACTAACTCCTTCTACAATATGAACATTTTTTTCAAGTCGTAAAGATATACAGCATAGAAACAGACCCTTCGGTCCAATTCATCCATGCCAACCAGATATCCTAAATTAATTTACTCCCATTTACCAGCATTTGACACACGTCCCTCGTCACTGTTTATTTCCCCAAGTTCCCTAGCTGTCATGTCCTTCTCCACAGCAAATTCTGATGCAAAATATTCGTTCGGTATCTCACCCATTCCTGTGGTTCCACACAACCTTATGGATTTTTAAGGGTTCCTTTTCTCTCCCTAGTTAATCTTTTGCCCTTAATGTAAATGTAGAGTCTCTTTGGATTCTCCTTAACCCTATGTACCAAAGCTATCTCATGTCCCCTTTTTGTCCTCCTGATTTCCCTTTTGAGTATACTCCTCGAGGGATTCACTTGATCCCAACTGTCTCTACCTGACATAAGCCTCCTCCTTTCTCTTGACATGAGCCTCAATTTCTCTAGTCATCCAGCATTCCCGACACTTACCAGCCCTGCCCTTTGCACTAACATGAACATACTGTCTCTGAGCTCTCATTATTTCATTTTTGAAGGCCTCTCACTTTCCAACCATCCTTTATCTGCAAACAGCCTTCCCCAATCAATTTTTGAAAGTTCCTGCCAAAACCGTCGAAGTTGCCGTTACTCTAGTTTAAACTTCAACTTTTAGATCAGGTCTATCCTTTCCATCACTATTTTAAAGCTAATAGACTGCACTGATAATCAATCCCCACTACTCCACGAGCTGTACCAAAAGTGCAAATGCTTTATTTAATCACCAAAATGGTCAGGTTGTTTCTCTTTTGTACTATGACCTGGAATAAAGAAAACGTCAACCATGCTTCTGCAATTAATCATGGTGGACCTCAAGTCCAAATTCACTCATAACATGGGAATGAAACAGGGCCAAGTAGGTAACAAAAGGACAGAAAAGTTTGGGAAGCAGAAGGTGGATATAAGAATATGCATATAAAGTGAATATAAATTGGGAAGGGAATATTCTAAGCTGGTTGACTTATTGTTGGTTTTAGCAAAAGAAATACAATGAAGGAATAAGCTAGTCAGTTCCTTTGACTTGTTTGACCTTTTTTTTAGATTATAGCCATACCACACCTTAGCTGTGTTTGCTATCACTTATACCATATCTCTAGGATTCCTTTTATCCAGTTTAAGAGCTGTTAATATGTGTCTTGAAAATTTCATGTGACTCTACATCCAAAGACTTTTGCGGAAAGCATTCCAGATTTTTGCTGTTTTGTAAATTTTGAAAACTAAAGTGTATTTAGTGAGCCCAAAGAATGATGAATTGGCGAGGAAATCGATTAGTGCAACTAACAGGATGTTTTGGGGAAGAAGGCTGCCAACACTGAAGGAAATGGTGAAGCATTTTATAAACCGATAAGTAAAAGAACAGTGGTGGACCAGGGATTATTAGAGAGGAAAAGGGAAATCTCATGGATGAAGAAATGTCAGAGGTGCTAAATGAGAAATCTACCCTGGTTTACACAATTGTGTGATAACAGCAGTGGAAGGGTACAGGAGGAAGCAGTGGCTCAATTAGATAGGAGAGCTTATTCATAAGGAAGTAATATTGAAAGGAACTGTTTGAACTTGTTCGAACGGGCACCAGGCACTGATTTTTATACATGCAACGATGCTGCGATAAGTCAGAGTTGATAAAAGGCTATATCCACAATGTATATTTTTAAAAAAACCCTTCAAAATATGTTTTTAAGAAAATCAAATGTTCCCAATGCAACACCTCTATTCAAAAAGTGAGAAAGAACTATGATTAACTGCACAGCAGTCATTTTTGAGTTGTGGTTTAGCTTCTTGAAGCTATAACATACTGGATAAAATCAAAATGTATTTGAGGTTTTCATTTGATGGCTAGTTAATATAGATAAATTAAACCAAATCCTGACTGATAAATGTAAGTTCTTTTCAGAAAATTAGTGCGTAATGGAAATTCAGCCAATTTGTACATAAGAATTTTTGTAAGATACTTGATAAAAATGCCCTTAAAACGCCTGATTTAAAATTTGTGGGCTAGTGTTGAAGGGATTTAGGCAAGCTTGGATATTATGTTGTTGTCATTTACTGGATTTTTTTTTAACTTGTTTGGAAGAATGTAAGTAATGCTGTTGCCAATAGGTCAATACAAGATTCTTGTATAGTTAAGATATCTGGGCAGGTAGAATTTGACAACAAAATTAAAATACGCATGATTAACAGAAGGCCTTTAGGAAACTTGAGAAAGTTAAAGGTTAGTAGATTGAGCAAATTGATGAATTTGAATGTATGTACATGCAAGAAACTCCTTTTTTAGAAAGGAGTAGGAGGAGAGGAATACATATTAATAGACAATGTTAAAATTAAGCAGAGAAGCTGACAAGTGTTCAAGTTGGAAATTGCTTTACTATAATGATAAAGAAAATGGAATCCCAGGGTTTATGAATAAAGATACAGGTGAAAATCGAAGTAATACTAAACCTGTCCAAGTCATTGTTTCAACTGTATTATGAATACTTGAATAGTTTGAATTTTTGAATCTAGGAGAAAGCCCATTGGGCTTTAGTGCAATTTAAATTGTTTGTTAGGCTGAGCACATTTGGTGGAATAATTTCATTTAAGAGTGTTCTTCAGCTGATAAATGGGGAACGAGGAACACAGCAATTTTAAAGGAAGAAAATATTGTTTTAACTGGGGAATGGAAGTTACCTCAAGACAAGATTCACAGGTATTGCAAAGACTCTTACTTTGACAGAGCAAATACTGGATGCAGTCGAAAAAATTATCCCATGTAAATGGCAATGAGCGCAAATAATTGCTACAACCCACTGGGGTATCATGCCATAAATCAGCTCTGCTATTATCTGGGTTATTACCAAATAAAGTTTTTCTTAAAGTGTGTATAGTCCCTCAATTTACCTGACTTTCAGATCAAAATTGATAGAAAGCACAGCACAGCCCAGGTTTCTGTAATGAATAAGAACTATTATTCATTGTAGTAATTAAACTATAACTACATGTATGCAGTTCTAAATGGCATTTAATGCTACTAACTAAAACTCTAATTCCTGTTTAAAGTCCTTCTCGCATACATGCATGCACAGAGAAACTGACAAAATAAATTATTGGCAAAGCTGGAAAGAAATGAAAAGTCCATTCAGTGGTCTTTGCTTCCTGATTCCAGTGTTGAGGTTTTAGTTTGGCTAGTAAAGTCTCGATGTTCAGTTGTCCTTCTCTGGAAGCTTCCACTAGCTTGTATCTGTCGTGCGCTCTCTTTCTCTGTAATTTGTTTCC